ACGTAGATCCGAATTATCATTCTGTTCATTTGCAACAATATTTTTTCTTCTTATACAAATCTTCAAACCAGTTTTCTCCGACAGCAACTCTTCATAATAATTCATAATAATCTTCTACACCGTTCATTTTCGATGTATTTCCTTCATGCAAAAATTCAACAATAAGTTCTCCATAAAAGTAAATATTCTTAGAAATCCTAATCTCCACGTCCTTTATTTTCAACAATATTTTCTTCATTTAAAAATTTGAAAACAAAAACATGCTAATTTTCGCTTCCATCGTTTCGAACAATATTTTTCTCTAATTGCAAAAATTTCAAACAATGAATCTTCATAAAAATCTCAATTTTTCCATCGTTCATTTTCGCTAGCATTTTCATCATCGAGCAACAAATCAGAAAACCCATAAATTTGGAAATTTCCGCCGGTCGATTTTCCAGGATGATAAATAACCTTTCAGCGAGCAATGCGAAGAAAAATTTCGCGATTCATCTTATCGCGGCGTAACCGTTCACGCGTGTCATTTTCAATGTACAGGCTCGGTCAGCGGAGAACGTAGAAAAAGGCAGTGGATAGAAAGAATCGGCGAAGTTTCAGCCGGTCTAACGGGATAGGCAGGTGTCACGCCATCGCAACCCCCCGATGCGACGATTACAACGATTACTGGTGGCTCTCCCGAGGGGTCTCGCAGGGTGGAATCACCTCCGTTGACATTGCATCACGAAGCACTAACCACATTATTTATGCCACCTCGTAAAACTTGTGGCGTGCTTAAACACACTACTCTCGTTGCCATCGCCCGTTCCCTTTCGAAGGCGAGTTCCAGAGACCCGCGGACCAGGTGGGGGCTCGCTGTTTGCGAAATCCACCACCTCCAGATAGTGGAATTGCTTGTATCAGCGATGCTTGAAGGAGACTAAACGTTACGCGGTCCTAGCATGTGGTCGGAATTCGTGTTCGGCATCAAGGGGGTGGGATCTTTCGATAGCGTATGGTGAACGTTGCATTTGTTATTGAAATGCGGACTGATTGTCCGAAAATCACTTCATGCTTGAAAAGCAATCCAGAAGTTGAAAAGATTTCAAAAGTAACAAATTGGAATTGTTACAGAGTGATTTTATCACAATTTTATTCGTAGAATTGATCCGAAATATTGTTCGAATGAAATTCGATTCGACGAATTTATTCGATATATCGTTCGAATCAAATTTTATTCAAAACGTTATTCGGACAAAATTTTATTCGAAACGTTAGTTGAATACAATTTTATTAGAAGAATTTATTCGGATGATATATTCAAAGTGTTATTCGAATTTAATTTTTTACAAAGGAAGATGATTCGTTATTGGGAATAACTTTCTAATTGGCAAATTTACTCCAAGATCCAATGTTATTTAGTATTAAAAGTTTTCTCCTATAACATCAAAGCTCCTTTATTTAACGATTATATTAATGCATATCTCAATGCACGTCCAAATATGCAAATATATGTCTATAATTATTGACTAATAGGTAATTCTCATGATATGTAATGAACAAAAGATTTACTAAAATAGTTATTTTGTTTAGTCACGCACATTTGCACATAACTAAACGAAATATAAACGAATGTCGATATTTTATGTGGAAGAATTTTCTCTGATGTAACCATAAAAGCCATATGAACGATGTATTCTTTTTTATAAAATTGCAAATAGTCAAACATGTATGACTAATGTTTGCAGATACACGGACATTTCTCTAATTATGTTTTGAACATTGTGGTTAAGGCTTTATTGTTGAAACTACAATAGCAAATTTTAACGAATCGAACACATAACATAATAATTTGAGGAACGTAATGAACGTAATGAATAAATTCCGAATTTTAATTGACATTAAGAGTCTGACTACAAATGTTGACGATGTGATATTTTCAGAAATGTACTTTCTTTGTACAAGAGATAATTATTTATCCAGCCAAATAAATTATTCACTTGTTCCAGTGCTCGTCAAATAATTTTTAAAACTGAGAATTCGCACGAAGATCCACAATTTGCATATAAAAATCTTTATTTTCCATCGCTTGTCGGTTCGAGGATACTATAAATCCATAAATCTGTACTTTATACGGTATTAAATAAGCGACAGATCTTTATGCGTTCGTAGCTCATAAAAATGGTTGGAATAAAGTAATATTGAAGGTTTAACGGAGTTCAGTGCAGATATCGGTTATTTACTGCATACGAGAAAATTGTCTATAAAAAGAACGAGTCTCTTATTTTCGAATTAATCAAATAAAATCTCTACAATATCCTACATTAATATATAAAATGCTGTATAAAATGGTTATTACGAATTAAATCGTAAAAACGAGAACGTAAATTCTGGTACAAATAGGAGAAAATCATTTTAATTGTGACCCGAAACTTTCAACTAACCGATGTTAATAATTATAATGTAATAATACAACTGTTTCACAAACCGGATAGTAAACAATAGACATGTAAAACGGTTTATGAAATCACCTACGAACGGATGCAGTGTGAAAGATTGCATGTGCGTAATTATATGCGTCCTAAAAGGGGTTTCTCGTCGCTTTAATGCACGAGTTCTTTTCGAGATATTTTAGTTACGCACGTGACGTCGGTTTGACTAATGTTAGCGTACAACGGAGATAGCTATTGTTGAGCGAAAACTGATAAAACGTTATTTATGACATTCAAATATTAAATTCCGCTCGCTATTAAAACATTAACGGTCTGTACTGCACAATCGCATTAGGTTTCAATGTCTAAGAACCGATAAGCCATTTTTTCACCGTGATTTTTATTGCATTTTTAATTACCACGTAAATGTGACAGCAGGTGTAAACAAATTTGGAAAAAATTACATTGACGAGCAGTTTTTATTCGTGAGAATAATATCGTTAAAGCATAATACACTTAAAGATTTCTCATTGTATATTGTACTAAATTTTGACTTGAATACTCTTTGAAAACTTTTGGTAGCTACGAATAGAAATCGTTTCGTGTATATCATATGGTTATTATTAATTTGATTTTAAATAGTTATGATAGATGAAAATTATCCACGTTCATTGCCAGACGCTGGAGGTGTAACGAAACATTTTTCCTTTCTTTGATACTATTAATTTAACGATATTAAAGTTCAAAACAGCAGCCTTTTATTACCTCCATTGTTTCAAGTCTCACAAGATCAACAGCTCTCCAGTGATCAAGAAAGTAATTAGATGCAATTTTGCATTTTGACCTAGTTTCTATTTCGTTAAAAATTATTTCATATTTTAGAAAAATGCAAGAAAATTCTCATTGATGTAAAAAGAAGTAGTATGAAAAAGTGTAATATAATGTAATATACTATAATATTATATTGGATTATAATAATAATAATGTAGTATAAAAGAGATAATATAATAGAAAATTATAAAAATAAATATAGGAAATGCTTTCAAAATCAACAAAGAGAATTTGTAAAAATTAATAAAGATAACCTTCGATACGATAACACAGAAAATTCTAAAAACGAATGTAGAAAATATTTCAAAACATACTATGGAAAATTCCAAAAATACATATAGGGAATATTTGCAGAAATAGCGCGGAAAACGTTTAAATGAATATTATGTAAAATAGTTCAAAAGATACTATAAAGAATACCAAAATATTTAGAAAACATTTCAAACAATAGTACCGAAAACGTTTAAAGGAATATAACATAGAAAATTCAGAAACCTAATATTTAAGAAGACAACACAGAGAAAACGAAGGAAAGAAATAGCTTAACTCTTTGCCGTATTTTGACGAGTCCGACTCGTGATAAAAATTTCTAGTAATAACTTATTGAATATAGATATTATTCTGTACGATATATTGAATAATGAATAATGATATTATTCTTTAAAATTGGAATAAAAATCTAATCTCTTGTTTGCGCAATCAAGTAAATTTGGGTACACAATAAGCATCGATTTTCTTTCCCGTCTAAGAAATTGCTCCAACAGAAAAATTTTTAGTCGCAGTAACTACGAAGAACATCGTATTTAATTAAGGGGTTAAATACTCCTTTTTATAACGAAAAGTAAAGGTAAACGGTCGGCAGGGATAGTCGAGGTAGCGATGATTGATTTTTCCTTTGTCGGTTGTTTGCAGCTACCGTACTCGATGAAGTTGGATTATGGCACGATGGGTGTCCCGGGTGGCGTTTCCGGAATGGTGCCTCTGTGGCGGCCCACGGTGAACGTGTCAGCCAAAGGAGAGGTGCCCGTCACGTTGCAAGTCTTCAGGATTCGGCTACTGTGCTCGGGCCGCGTCAGCGCCGAAATTCCTTTAGCCCTGAGCTTGAACGTCACTGCCCCACCTGGAACCAAATACAACGACACCATTCTCGTGTTCAAGAGAAATAAAATCTGCTTCAAAGGTAACCACAGCGCAATTTCATTCGTCTCACCGCGTCACTCAAGGATCAGAAAAATCTCATTTTCGCGTCTGGTCACACGCGAGACGGTAATATACATATATTCTCATTGGAATTAAACGTGTCACTATCAGACACTTTCGGATGCATTTATAACCACAATGGAATCTCTGAAATACAAAATAGTGAAGTCAAAAGAGAGAATTTAATTGTTTTATAATACTTTATTATTTATAATATTATTATTATTATTATTATTAATTATTATTATTATTATTATTATTATTATATAATATTATTATATTATTTATAATACTATAATACTATTATGACATTGCATCTTCTGTTTAATAACTAAATAAATACTGTTAACGAACGAAGGTAATACTTCAATAGTTTTCAATTCTTTTAACTGTTCTTCTTCAAACTGCAGCTAAGTATTCTTGTCATAAATGCTTGAAATCCGTAGTCGTTTATTTTATCATTAATCTCCTTTAATTTATACTTCTACTACACGAATTCTTAACCATTAAGATAAATATAGGCTTGTTATTAATCGTTCTTAATCCTTCTGTTATCAATCGAAAATCTATTTCGAATGAAACAACGTATTTTGTCAACAAAGAAGCCTGCTCATTGTATTGGGTTATTAAGTATGAAATGCGTAGAGTTTATGGAAAAATTATAGAGTAAAGTATGTATTAGGTCTACCGGAAAGTTCTGTCCGATAATGTCATTGCAAATTTCGATAGGTATGCACATGTTCATTTGAGACATATATTTTTGAAAAATGTTACAAATTGCCATCACGCTGGCAAGAGGTCATAAATAACGACGGAAATATATATAAATATTACTGAATTTATGAAAAATCTATTATTTCCTTTCATTTTTCTTAAACGGACAGAACTTTCCGGTAGACCTAATATATTTCACAGTTAACGATCTAGTAAATTTGAAAAACTAGTACGACAAGTGGTGCAAATGAAAGGAAAACTTTCTATTTAATACAACGTGTCTATGTGTAAATTCCTACCGCGCGCTGAACTCGCGTTAAAGCTCGCGTAAGTCGAATTGCTTATTGGATTTGATGCAAGCTTCGAACAAGCTCGCTGGAATCTACTCGCTAATGCTGTGAATTTACGCCACTTCGAAGTCGCGTATTTTTTCACAGAGTCAAAGGCGAGCGCCGGCAACTGCTTCGTAAGTAGTTCACTAAATTCCGCGAACTTTCGACAGCCGCGCGAAGGACCCTGACAAAGAACATGAATCGTTAGAGTTCATTGAGACTCTCGGAGAGTGAGAGAGAGAGAGAGAGAGAGAGAGAGAGAGAGAGAGAACGCTTGGATCTATCTTCCTGTAGCAACTTCATTTGACGCGCGAAAGTTCGGCACTCCTTTGAGGAATCCGCTGCCTTCTGCTCCGGACAGAATGAGAAAGAATTATAAAGAAGAAACTCCGTGGACACCTGGCGAACAATAGTCGCTCGATCATGGCGGACGGGCCCTGCAGAAGGTGCAACCATTCGATCTCCTCAGACTTGTTCGTTAAAATTGAAACGAAATAATTCTTCTTGAAACTTATCAGAAATCGCGGATCTATTTCGAAATTAATTGACGTGCCGACAGATATTCTTGCTGAAAATATTCTTCGTTGTAATTCTTAACTTACGAAAAGTTTATATTTTAGATTAGCCACCCTTCCTTGCTTTCGAAATAATTTAAATAATTCTTTCAAATCACTGAACTTCGTTAGTACAGAAGCAGAAGATCTTTATTTAAATTCATACGAATATTAAACAGAATTACTAACATTTTACTTGAGGCACTGAGAAACTTTGGTGGGCAAATTTTTCGTCGATCTAAACGAAAAAATAGTGTTGCATATACAGTAATATGAAGTAACGCTTACATTCTTAATGATATCTAAAAACAAAAACTGAACGAAATATAATATTTCAATATTTTTTTCTATCAGAAATAATTGAAAATAAAAATACGCAAATAAGATATTTTGTTCAGTTTTCGTTTAAATATTGTAATATAATAACTATCCTACGAATGTCGGAGCATTAGAATAGGTCATAATGTTTCGAACAATGAAGATGACAACAAAAGTTGCCAATAAAATGGTCCGCATTTAGGGATTATTATACCATTCTTCAAATCAGCGTTAAATTTTGAACTGAAAATAACAAAAGACTGTCGAACAGGATATCGAATACGGTAAAACTAGTTTCCATAACAGTCCACAGTCTATACGTAATACATACAAAAATATTAAAAAGAACAAATATAATAATACAAACAAGCTTTGTCATAACTAGACTGCGGATCTTTATGCATTCGTGGCATATGGAGATTTTTGAAATGCAAGAAAACATATAAATTAGCGTGGTCTAATAACATTTTTATTGCCTTTTGACGACGAGGAATCGTTTCAGTTAACGAAAGAAACTTTTGTTGAACGCAGTCTAGTCATATAACATTTATCTTTACCATAAATGACAAAAACGTTCGCATCAACTGTACAATGAATAATATTAACGCTAAATGTTTCGTTTCCTTTGATAGAATATTTTACGATTCAACATCCTACCATGGGTCGTATTTTTTGGTGAATACACCGTTATTATCCGGATCGTCGAACGATATCCGGATTACTCGAATTTTTAGATGTTCAAATACCTGGAAATCTGCATCTCACTTTGAGCCGCGGCTTTCAACAGCAGAGCAAACAGCCTTGACGTGCTCGTAAATGCAATATTCGGTTTAAGCATCTCGAAAATAGAAAATATCTCTACGCCGCGCACTGGGGAGAGGGAAACGAAGTTATCTTTCCGTACTCCGAATAAACACAGACTCGCAGATACCCCCGAAATCTTGTAGCTTCCCTCTTCAATCTTCCGAGAGGAACGATTCGTAGCGCGAGAGGATACGATATGACGTTCAGACGTGATTCTCATAGCGACTGCCGAGAGGAAACATCCCGTTCTCCGGCAGGAAATCGACAAGAACATCGAGTATCTTGGAAATAGTGGCAACAACGTTTCGCCAGACAGGTGGATGGAGTCAGACGCCCGTTCTCACCGTCGAAACTATTCTTGTTTACACCCACCGATAAGAAGTGTGTGAAACGGTGTGGGTCAGCGGTCGAAAAAAGGAACAGAATATACCCTGTGAACGTTTAAGGTTGTTCTGATTTATAGATATCCACAACTCGAAGTGAAACGTGAAAATAATAAAACGTATTTTTCCAATCACATCTTATTCAAATTAATCCAATTAGAGTTTGGTGCAAATTCGCAACAGATTTGGCGTATTAACGGTTCAATATACAGGGTAGATGGCCGAATTAGTGTCAGTATACAGGATATCCCAAAAATGTTTTGCAATCCGGAAATGAGGGATTCCTGAGGTCATTACAAGTAACTTTTTTCTGAGCGAAAATGTAATCCGCGGCTTTGTTTACGAGTTATTAACGAAAAACACTGACCAATGAGACGCAAGCTTGGCTGGCGCGAGGCGGCCCAGCTAATGAGTAGACATCTCGCGCCAGCCGATCTCGCCTCTCATTGGTCAGCATTTTCCGTTAATAACTCATAAACGAAGCCGCGGATTACATTTTTGCAAAGGAAAAAGTTACTTAGAATGACCTCAGAAATCATCTTTTAACATAATTATGGGACACCCTGTAGACAGATATTTCCTTTTCTAATGATTTTAATGCGTTGAACATAAAACAATAGCATTTTTAATTTTCTCAAAAAATTCCAACGTTTTGCATTCAATCTATTCATTTTTATCAGCTAATGAGTGGACATCCCGCGCCAGCCGATCTCGCCTCTCATTGGTCAGCGTTTTTCGTTAATAACTCGCAAACAAAGCCGCGGATTGCATTTTCGCAAAGGAAAAAGTTACTTGTAATGAGCTCAGGAACCCCCCATTTCCGGATTGCAAGACATTTTCGGGGTATCCTATATACTAATTCGGCCATCTACCCTGTACATTGAACCGTTAATACGTCAAATCTGTTGCGAATTTGCACCAAACTCTAATTGGTTTAATTTGAATAAGATGTGATTGGAAAAATACGTTTTATTATTTTCACGTTTCACTTAGAGTTGTAGATATCGTAAACAAAGCCGCGGACTGCACTTTCGCTGAGGAAAACGTTACCTCAAATGACCCCAGGAACCCTTCATTTCCCGGAAGTACCATAACTTTGGAACACCCTGTATAACATACAGCTTTAACGTTTTAGTACTTATTTACATGTTTATTGTTAAAAATACCGTCACGTTAGTTTCGATGCTTCGGTACAATTAAATGAAGAGACACATTGCTACCTAACTTCTGTGTTTTACGGTTAACATAGAAACATTACATCTCGCACGAAGAGATCCGCAGTCCAGCAATAAATCTCCTGCCTCGGTTCTGAATATTCAAACATACAGTCCCCAGTAAAGAGGTCTTGCACAAGGATTCCAGTAATTAGATCGCTTTCACGGGCGCAGCCGTCTCGAACTCTCGCGGCAAGCTAAATGAAGGAGATGAAAATATAAAAGAAAGAAAGTTATGCATGGTACAAAGGCGAGGAAAGCAGGCGACTGGCGAAGAGGAGGAGCAAGAGGAGGAAGGAAATGAGAAACAGTAAGAAGCGCGGGGACTTGACAGACACTGATCCGGATCCGGTTACTGGCGTAGTCGCCGTTACAACGAAAAGCAATCCGCCGAATAAAATTGAATCTCGTCGGGAGTAGGTGTATTTAATGAAAGAGAAGAGAGGGAAGATCTCTCGCCGTCCAAGATCAAGAGGATCGACTGCGTATAAAAGAAGATGAGAAGCGGTCCGGAGAGGGTGGACGAGCGCTGCGGAAGGGAGAAAAATAAGTAATCGCCTCCGAGGGAAGGTTCGCCGGCGAAGAGTACTTGCGCCCGTGTACAGAGTTCCTTTTTCGGCGGGATTTGCTTTCTTCTTGACCCGTTGCTGGGTTTCCGTCC